CACACACACACACACACACACACACACACACACACACACACACGCACACACCTGACGTGCCAGGGCCCCCAGGACTCGTAGTACCACGAGCCGCGATTGAATTCCTGCAGGACGCTGCCAAGGCCTTCACAGACCACTGGCCAAAAGCGCCAGCCTGGATGATGCCCTTGCCCCCCCCACAACGCCCCACCTCCCAACTGGCTACTGCCTTCCAGACCAGTGAGGATGGGGTGTGTGTCTACCCATCTGATGGGCCGGTCCAAATTAGCCAGAGGTGGTGGTGGGGTTCCCATACAAGTTCAGCTGCAGTTGGAGCAGACATTAGCAGAACACGTTGGGCGGGACACCTCTTGACCGTAGACCTCATCGCATTCGGATGGAACATGTATTTCCACACCCTTCGGTCCGGGGGAAGAGTTTTATTTGGGAAAATCGACCTATCCCCTCACCCCATGTCCTGGCATGGTCTCCACATCAGCTAAAACCCGCTACCCTCCCCTGCAGACCTTCCTGGGGTGGTCTACCTGCTCCAATGTGATAATGGGGGGGGGGGGGGAATCTCACGTCGCCATGGCATCTCAGAGGACAATGGTATGCTGCAGATTTATGTTCCAAAACATCAAGGTACATGTAAATCACTGCCAAGACAGCACGTTTCCAGTCGGCACCCACTGAGCCGTTTGTGTAAAAATAAAACCCGGCATCTGAATGATGGCCAGACCCAGAGAAGACAGGGACCAGTTCTCTGTGAAGGGGGTGGGGGTGGGGGTGGGGGGGGGGCGTACCTGGCTCTTGGAGGCGGCCACCTTGGCGAACATGGCCTGCGACACCTTGGCCCTCTTCATCTCCTGCTGGATCTCGTCATAGATGGAGGCACTGATGTTCAGCACACAGCTCTCCGGCTTGCCATTGCGCTCGGCGGGCAGTGGCGACGGCTTCACCTGGGCCACAGGTACCGGGGGGGGGATGTTACATTGGGGGGGGGGGTGGGACTATCATGAGAAGCCACGAGTTTGAGAGTGCTGGGGGGGGTACTCACAGGGGACACCCCGACAGGGACCCGTGGGTGCCAGTCATCTTGCCTGGTGTTGCCACAGTCTTCTCTTCGGGGCTGGGGGGTGAAGAGAGGGCAACGTTAGGAAACCCATCGTCCCAGTACTACTCTGCTAGAATGTTCCCACAAGGCCAGCTCCCCTGGGGTATGTGTCTGATACATCCGGCACTGTATGACTGAACAACGGGCGGCATCCATTTGGGGGGGGTGGGGCGGATCACCCAGACATAAGTTGTCAACATTTATACATCACTGGAGTATTTGTTCTGCTCATAATGAAGCTTAAATATTTCAAATCAGGACCACGGGCCATTCTGAGATTCCGGTCATCCGGAAGGTTCCACTTCAAATTCCGCCATCCATCTGCAGGGAAGCTGAAGGGCTAATACTTGTGAGGTCGAGGGAGTGAGGTGGGCAGCCTGGGCTCCTGGCTCCAAGGGAGGAGAACGCCATCTCTCCGCAGTCTGGGGAGAACAGGCCCAGTGACCACCATTCCCATGCTAAGCAAACGGCCGGCAGCCTTCCGAAGAAGCTCATTCTAATTAATTAGTATTTTTTTTTTTTTTTTTAAGTGTTCTTCAGCCTGTTTGCACATACAATGATGCTGTGTGGTTGGATGCCCCCACCTCTCGGATGCCCCCACCTCTCTGATCCCCCCCCCCACAACCCCCCACGAGCCTGGGGTGTTTTCCTGTGACCAGCTGTCAGCCACACGCTGCTCCCTGGCACACAGGAAAATAAACCTGCCGGGAAGGCTGCCTCCACGTATAATCAAGTTATCCTTGAGCGACGGTGCGCTGGGAGCATGCTCAGAACACGCCACTGTCCAGGGAGGGGTGGGGGGGCACTGGGGGGGACGCGGCAGTACGACACAGAGGTCACCTGCACCATTCCCACGTCTGTAACTGGAGACTGAGGTTGGGAATCTGCAAGGGCTGTTAAAGGTAAAAGCCCATAACATAATATAAGAAACATTTTAAAAGTCAGTGTTCAATTTTATTTATTTTTTTTATAAAATCACACATACACACATCGTTTTGCCTACAAGTCATTCAGTTATAACCTAAAACTGAATTAAAAATACATGTTTAAGTGCCAAGTTCAAATTTTTGAAGATCTATAAACAAAGCAATAGGTAGCAGGTATCCACAAGTCTGCGGCCCCTCCAGCCTGACACTATACGATTATCCCTTTCTGTCCTAATGAATGACACAAGGTCACCCCTGAGCCCAGGCATTTTCCCTGCTCAGGAAACCTACATCGGCCTGGTGTCCCAGCTGGGGTCTCCCCTGCTTTCCGGGATACTTTTGACACCCAATACACAGTTATGGGAAACGGATGGACAGATCCCTATGATAGGGGGACGGGGACGGACAGCATTCCGGGTGACCTGGAGCATCCGTGCGTATCTGCGTTCATTCTGACTGACCGCCAAACACAGAGCAATTTATGAAAGTGATCTGCTGAATGCTGCGACATACACCCGCCCCATGCCATCCCAACATACCAACCCTACACTCCCGCCGTCCCCTATAAAGAAACGCAGTGCTGGAAGGCATTGCACTAGAACATTCTAGGCACTCGTGAGCTAAAATCGCATTGACAGCCATCAGGTTGCCAAACTTAAGCCATTATGTCCAGGGAATAAAGTCCCCACTTGTTAGGGAACAGAACCTGACTGTCCTCTGTCTGACCCCATCCGCCACACCATGTCCTGTCTCCAGCCTCCGCATGTTCTGCGGGGTCCAATCCACTTCACTGGGTCCTGGGACCGCAGCCTGTGCCGTGGAGGGGGCAGAAGGACCCACTTCACGCCCGTTACAAAAAGAGGCTCTTCAACGGGTCGACGCGGGCGGCCTCCCGTCCCGCTCCGGGCCAGTGGCTCGGCAAAGCCGCTTAAGTGGAAAAACTTGCCACGTGGCTTTTTAAAGTGGCACTCGAACCCTGGAGGCTGGGGAATGGGGGGGGGGGGTTGAAACGTCAGCCAGGCAGAAATGATGTCCTGGTGAATCCACACGGTGGAGAGGCACACCAGGCATCACTAATATTGTCACGGTTCAGTTTTAAATTTGCTAAAAAAAGGCCACCGATTTTAAAAACAGCCATGTGATATTCGCCACTGCGGCTCAGTGGGTAGTACCCTGGCCTCACGCCCGCAGGGTTGCAGGTTTGTGTCCCACCCCCAGCTCAGTGTGTGTACAGTTCTCCCAGTGTTGCCTGTCTATGGAAGCTGAGAGGCTAACTGGCATCTGTAAACTGGTCAGTGTTGCCTGGGATAGGCTCCAGGCCCCCCCATGACCCCGGGCACTTGCTAGACGGATGCATTTTTACCACTTTTCTGTGCCTATAAGTTTTACTTAACAGTGATGGGTATATTTGCCAGGCAACTGTCCAATGAAAGGGCAGCAGGCACAAAGAGGTGGGGGACGCCTCATTGGTGGGAGAGGGACAGAGGGGTGGGGCTGAGCCATACCTGGGCGGTCCGGACGCCTCATTGGTGGGAGAGGGACAGAGGGGTGGGGCTGAGCCATACCTGGGCGGTCCGGACGCCTCATTGGTGGGAGAGGGACAGAGGGGTGGGGCTGAGCCATACCTGGGCGG